ATAAATTAATGAATTAGGAGATTTTCTCTTCTGATCATGAGATTAAAGTCGTTATTGACAAACTGTCGTTTCTCAGATGTATAAACATACAGCAGGGGGCGCCTCCTCCCTCCTCCGTTTGTCCGTCTCCACCTGTCGTCTCTCTCGAATCATCTGCCCGTCGCTCGGAGCCTGATTTAAAGTTTAAAGACAAACAATAAAGTTTAGACACAGTGAAAAATCGGAAACTCGGAAAGACGAGGAGATTCCAGATGTTTTGGTGACAAGGGCAGCGCCCGTGTGGACGAGCTGGAAACAACAACCCTGATCTTTCCTGCTGCATTATACACCATGTCAGAAAACATCATCTGGATTCAGAACCAGTTACGTCCGGAGCTGAGACCTGGTGTCTGTGGACGCGTTCCTCTGGTTCCTGGTCCAGCTCCATGTGGTTGTCGTCTAAAGGGAAGAAGTTCTCTGCAGCGTCGGCTTCATCCGAAGCTCCTGGATGAAGACAATTTAAAAACAACATCAACGACCGGCTGCTCAGCAGAATTAAGCTTCAAATAAAATTCATAAAAAACTAATGAAAGGTTTTATTTTTTTATTTCTCACTGAGATCAGATCAAAAATTAAAATATTTAATAATTGAATGATTGAATTAAAGTCGACTGTAACAGCTGTTGAGCCATGATGTCAGATTTAAAACGATAAAGTGATTGGTGTCGATTAGAGTTACCTTCCTTCTCCTTCTCGCCCTCCTTCTCCTTCTCGCCCTCCTTCTCCTTCTCCAGCTGTCGAGCATTAGCATCTGGATGAAGATGCAGAGACTTGACAGGATGTGGATCATCTTCAAACCTGGATCTGAGGAGGATCATGTCCCCGTCGCCTGGGATGTACAAGTTCATCCTGAAATCCTTCTGACTGCACAACACCTCACCTTTCAGACTACACACACACACACACACACACACTTTTTTTTTAATGACTTTTATTTTCAAAGTATATCTTTTGTAGAGTCTTTCACTCAGAAAGGTGTGTGTAGCGTCTTTTATTTTGAAAGGTGTGTAGACTCTGACCTGATTAGAGGAAGTCTGTTTTTCTCGTGAGTTTCAGGAGGAATCAGCGATGGAGGAGGAAGAGGAATCACGTTCACCGTCTGAGACGAGAGACAGATACTCATCATACTAAACTACAGGTGAACTGAACCAGGTTAAAGTGAACCAGGTTTAACTGAACCAGGTT